ACAAACATTCCAGCGATTTATTCACGATGTTTTGCGCGGATTGGATTGCGCGCATGCTTATCTCGACGATATTCTTGTGGCTAGCCCAGATGAAGCTACCCACCGTACGCATTTACAGATGGTTTTTGAGCGTTTAACAACCCATGGTTTGACACTCAACATGTCTAAATGCCAGATTGGCGTCCGTTCGTTGACCTTCCTGGGACATGTCATTAATGAACAGGGAATTCGCCCGCTACCTGAGAAGGTGCAGGCAATGCGCGACTTCCCGGAACCTACGTCAATAAAATCTTTGCGCACATTTCTAGGCATGGTGAGTTATTACCAACGGCTTGTTCCTCATTGTGCACATATTTTACAGGCACTCACAGACCCACTAAAGAGTAAGAGCGAAACGTTCAGCATGACACCAGAGGCTCGAGAAGCGTTCCAGAATATTAAGTCGGCAATTGCAGGCGCCACCATGCTAGTTCACCTAGACGTCCATCTTCCGCCTAGCATCTCAGCTGATGCATCTAACACAGCCATTGGAGCTGTTCTACAGCAACAGGTACATACCTCATGGATACCAGTCGCCTTTTTCTCTCGGAAGTTGTCCGCCGCTGAAGCGAGGTATAGCACCTTTGGCAGGGGACTCCTCGTCATATACGCGGCTATCAAACATTTCCGCCATTTTGTCGAAGGTCGGAAATTCACAGTATTTACCGATCACAAGCCCCTGACGTATGCCCTCCACACTACTACAGATATATATTCTCCACGCGAATTGCGTCACTTGGACTACATTTCACAATTCACTTCGGACATTCGACATATTTGGAAAGCCTCGCTATCGATGTCTGCTGCATTTCGGAGACCCGCATTCAAGATCCCAGTCAAGTGCTTCGACTATCCTCTCCATCTGGAAGTTCTAGTAGTATGTACCACCTGCGCTTATCCGGGGACCCTGTGGCATCGGCATCCGGCATAGCTGGTGTCGGTGTCGCACTGAGCGCTAGAGCCGAAGCTCCACTGCTCGACTGGATTCCCATTAACAGTCGTTTATGTGCTGTGAGGCTGGAAGGATATACGAAAGTAAGGAGTAGTAGGCCAGATAGGCGGTGTCTATTTGTTGTCTCTGCCTATGCACCGACGGATTGCAGCCCGGATGCAATGAAGGATGAGTTTTACTACCAACTGAGCGATCTGTTGAAACAGGCGGGTCGGAGGGATATCGTAGTGCTGGCTGGGGAATTGAATTTTACAGGTCGGGCGTCTGAGCTCAAAGGAGAATCGTCTAGGTGGTCAGTGGGGACTACATGGTCGCAGGTCAGATAATGGGGACCGTCTTCTGCAGCTTTGCGCGGATCACAACCTATTTCTAGCCAGCACCAACTTCCGGCACAGCCATCGCCGTAGCGCTACCTGGCGTCCTCCCTCTGCGAAGCAAGCTTGGACTCAGATTGATCATATTGCGGTCAGTTTCCGGTGGCGAGGATGCATACAAGACTGTCGCTCCTTCTGGAGCACATGCCTGGACTCCGATCATGCGTTAGTGTGTGCCAAGTTCGTCTTGCGATTTGGTGGGGTTCGTAAAAACCGTCGTCTAAGCGTTGATGTGAGCAAACTAGTAGCACCTGCTACTTCTTTGAAATATCAGAATGAGTTGAAAACAATGCTTGCCAGCAACCCCCCCAAGTAGTATAGATGAACACTGGCTTCATGTGCAAGGTGCCGTGCAAAAAGCGAGTGTAGCTGCTTGCGGCTTGAAAGAATGCTCCGCTAACAACCACTGGGTTTCTGCGAGTTCCTTGCAACTCATGGATGAACGCCGGTCCATTCCGGCTGGCAGTGAATACAACAATCAGCGAAAGGCGCTCACGCGCAAGATTAGACAGTGTTTACGTAAGGACCGCGAAGCCTGGTGGTCAGAACGTGCGTATGAGATGGAGTCAGCTGCTGCATCTGGTAACAGTCGGAAGCTGTTCCAACTCATACGAGCCACCGGCAGCAAGAAACAAGGTGTCAGCGAGACGGTCTGTGAGGCAGATGGCACGCCAATTACCAGCCTGAAGAGACGCCTGGAACGCTGGGCAGAGCACTTCGGGAAGCAGTTCAGCTGGCCACCAGCTTCGTTGTCTACTATCACTAGCCCGAGTGCTCCTTGGTCGGTTAGTACCGACCCACCCACCGAAGCGGAGGTCCGTAAGGAACTCCAAGTTCTGAAACGCCATAAGGCGCCCGGCCCAGACAAATTACCCCCGGCTCTTTTTAAAGAGGGTGGCGAGACTCTCATAATGGCTCTAACTGGGTTGTTCA